ATTTGAGAATGGGTCCCTATGGACAAATTTCTATTCTTACAGCTGTTCCTTTCTAGGATATTTAACATGAATACACAACAGAAATAATTTTTTAAAAGGAGAAAATTCCCAAACCCAAAAAGTTATTTTTATCTATTCTAGGAAAATAAACAATTATGTTAAATTCGCTAGTATGTCCTGCCTCATTTTCAGATAGGAATTTGATCCATTTAAGAAGTTTTGCTTCCCAGGCTTAACGAATGCCCAGACTGGTAACAGAGGTGATTTTATTTTAGGCAAAACCCTTAGGCCACAGTTCTATTTTTTTTTTTTTTTTGAGGCAGGGTCTTGCTGTGTTGCCCAGACTGGAGTGCAGTGGTACAATGATGGTTCACTGCAGCCTTGACCTCCTAGGGTCAACTGATCAACCCACCTTAGTCCCCACAAGTAACTGAGATTATATGCACGTGGCATCACACCTGGCTAATTTTTAAATTTTTTTTGTAGAGAGGGGATCTCACTATGTTGCCCAGGGTGGCCTCAAACTCCTAGGTTCAAGTTATCTTCCTACCTTGGCCTTCCAAAGTGCCAGGATTACAGGTGTGAGCCACTGCACCCAGCCCAAAGTCCTATTCTTACAGCTGTCCCTTTCTAGAATATTTAACATAAACTACAGAGACATATTTCTTTGAAACCTTTTGTTTAAAAGCCTTTATCTGCTGTATGAAAACAAACATCTATGTTAAGTCTACTAGAATTTCCACATCTGATGCTGCGATTGCTAGCTGTCTGGAAACTGATCAGTCAAGGCAGTTTGTGTTTTTTGGGTTTAAGACAGTCACTGGAGAAGGTCACAGAGGTAAACAATGACTATGATACAAAGAAACAGAAGCAGGCAACTGCCTTTTCCATGTTCTACTGGTGAGTTCAGGAGGGGAGCTTAGTTATGGCAGCAGAAAGATTGCTTTTTGAATTAAAAATAAAATAAAAATACATCCTCTTCAAGGCCTTTTACTGCTGTCAAATACTTCTACGGCTTTAATGTCTCGTGGATGAAAGCAGTAAAATGCTTTAACCCACCAGACATTACTATTGAAATGGCAATCTTTTACAGGAAAAGAAGGAAAAAAGTAATAGAGTCAAGAAGAGAAAATGTGTGAGGCTAAACAAATACTTCAGTTTTCAACCAATCTAGCCATTGACAAATTTATCCTGAGTGCCTACATGCTCTGCAATGCACTAGCAGACATGAAAGAACAAAATCTGACTTTACAAAATTTCCAACCTAACTTGGTAGGGGAAAAAAAAACCTAATAGATAATCTGGCAAGATTATTAAATCAGTGAGACTGATTACACCTGTAATCTTTATAGGCAGTCTGGAACCCAAATTTCATTGCAAGTCAATTATCTGGAATTCAAAAGCAATTTCCCAAAGAAGTAATGTTATACAGGGCAGTTACGTTCTCAGAAAAATCCACAAGTCTTTAAAATTTATATTGTTCAAGTACCATAGAATCTAGCCATATATAGAAGTGCTTCTGTGGGAAAATATGTCTAGAATTCTAACTTGGGATGCCAGGAACACGTCTCCCTGTGCTGCCAGGAATATGATGAGATGAGGACACCTTTTATCAAAACCAGCCAAGTAGAGAAAATAATTCCCCCAGTCATTCATAGGGACTCTCAAAGCCTCCAACTGTGCAGAGCCTAGGGGAAGAGATTTGGAGGGAAGAACAGAGTGGTGGAATCACTTTGGAATCTGAGTAAGACCATATTTTTTTTTTTTTTTTTTTTTTAATTCTGAGGGCCCCCTTTACTCTTTTCCTCCATTATTCCCTGTTAATTCTGACTCCAAGTCCTCTCCTTCCCTGGTTCACAGAGTAATAGAAAGGAGTCTCATAGTTTCCATCTTGTTTCTTGAAGTAAACACACAGTACATTTTGGTTGGGGGTTGAGGGTAGCTTTCACCAGGGGAATTTTTTTTTTTTTTTAAATAAAGGATACCTATAATAATTTATGATGTATTTTCCATGTAAATTATGTCACTTCGTCTCCACTTTCCCCCTAGTCTTGCCATCAGAAAATCCTACTTTGTTCAATAATGGTATTATGGCTGTTTTAAAAACAGAATCCTTATCTTTCAGAAAGGCTAATGAAATATTTACAGAGGTAGTGATACGTTTGGAACTTGCTTCGAAATAATCCTATGGGGAGATGTGGGGATGGTAGAGCATAAATAAAGCAACTTGAAGCTGGGTTCTGTATGTTAGGACACAATTCTGCCTACTTTGGACTATATTTACATTTCCTATAAAATGTTTAATATAAAACAATGGTGGCTGGGAATCCCACCCTGAACTTGAACTACTGCTAGTATAGGATAGAGGGCTGGGGTCGGGTAGGGACAAGGACAGTAAGTAATGGCAGATGAGAAAGGAGAGTTCTTGAGGCCATCAGGCTGAGGCAGAAGTTCCCAAGTGGCTATTCACTAGAGTTAGGGCCTGACATAGGTACAAGAAAAGTTCAGAAAAGGGAGAAGCTGCATGAGCTTCAAGAGCAAAGAGCAGATGGAATTTGAGTTCAGCTAGAAAGATGTAAGATTTAGTTGGCTTGAAAGTAGAGAGAGGGATAATTCAAATCAAGGAAAAGTCATGAGTATGGACAGTAATACGGAGAAGAGCAGGTGCATCACTTAACGTCGTAAAAGGGAAAGGAAGCTGCATTTGGTTTGTAGGCAGGGGAGTGGAGGATGACATGCTGAAGAAGATTACCTTGATGGCAGTGTGCAGAACTGCAATAGAGGGAATGCTGCAGCAATTCAGGTTTCCATGGGTATGGCCCTTGACATGAGGTGTGGGGGCAGAGCCAGAAAAAAAAGAGGGCAAAACAAAGAAAAGAGGGCATGAAGGGTGTAGGCATGAAGGCAATGTGAAAGGAATTTAACAGGTCTCAACTGAGACTGAGTACATGTGTGTTCACTACATGAAAGAGCATAAAGAAGGTTCCAGACCACAGACCAAAAGCTCAGGAGTATCACTTAAGGGAAACAGGAAAGAAAGTGATAGAAAACACAAAGAAGCAGTTAAAATGATTGAAAAAGGAAAAGAGTCAAGCACTATGGATGGACCTCAAGGGCAGAAATGCTTCAAAAAGACGATAATGATTAATAAAACCAGATGCAGAAGCCACGTAAGAGAGAAAGGAACTAAGGTAAAATCACAGGATTTGGTTAGATTATAGGAAACCGATGGGAGAATAGTTTTAGTACAGTGTAAATGAAAATCAATTTGTAGGTAGTGAAGAGGAGCACAGGGAAATAAGGAAAATCAGGTAAAGACCTATTCAAGTGGCCAGGCAATGGCTCCCACCTATAATCCCAGCATTTTGGGAGGCTGAGGCAGGAGGATTACTTGAGACCAGCGGTTCAAGACCAGCCTGGGCAACAAAGTGAGACCTCGTTTCTACAGAAAATTTTTTGAAAATTAGCCACAGCATGGTGGCTCGTGCCTGTGGTCTCAGCAACTTGAGAAGCTGAGGCAGGATTGCTTGAGCCTGGGAGGTCAAGGCTGCAGTGAGCTGTGATCATGTCACTGCACTTCATCCTGGGTGGCAGAGTCAGACCTTGTTGAAACAAACAAATAAAACCTACTCAAGTAAAGAAGGAAGAGGAAGAAGAGATGATTACAGGATGAATCAAAGTACACTAGAAGGAGAGACAATAACACGAGATTCCTGAGGAAATGCAGTAGGCTAGCATGAGAGAGGAGTAAATAAAAACCTTCCTCTCTTAGAGGAGAGGAGCAGGAGTCTAAAGCTGGGACAATGCTAAGTATGGCATACATATGAAAGAGTAGTGGGAAATAGAAGGGAAGCTGGGCCAGTCCAGTGAGAACCTTAAAATGAGGAGCTTCAATATTGCGGTGTAGCTAAAGGTAGGCCACAGGAAGACTAGTGAGGTCACCAGAAGGTATCATTTATTTTTATTTTTTAGTAGAGACAGGGTCTCACTATGTTGCCCAGACTGTACTCAAACACCTGGCCTCAAGAGATTCTCCTGCCTCAGCCACCTGAGTAGCCCAAACTACAGGAACACACCAACTATGCCCAGCTTTGAAAGACTGCTTATAGTCACAATGCTAGAAACTATGAAATGGTAGTGAAAAAGACTAGACTCTCTACTTCTAGTCTACTCTTCCCCAACATCTACTCCCCCCAACTCATATTCCATATTCTACCATCAGATTAATTTTCAGATTAAGAGATTTATCTTTATGATTAATTAAGATCATAAGGATAAATCTCTTAATCTCTAGCTTCACAGAGGTTCGGTGTTTCTCCTCCAATCTTGATAAAAACCAGCTTGTAATTTTACTTAACTAATAATATTATAATGTCTTACCACACATGTGACTGCAGAGTTGTTCAACTTTACATGCCAACTTGGGAAAACAAAGATAACCTCCTATCACAATTTACATGCGGACAAGTATGGTGGCAGTGGACAGCCCGCTACTTAAAGCCCACAATTGTGCAATCACATAACTAGGCAGAAAAAAGAAGCACAATGGCAACCTCCTAAGAAGCCAGAATGTGCTACTATTCTTTATAAACAAAAATGACAGAACTGAGATATCATTTGTAAAGTATACATTTTGATTTGTGACTCTTGTGAAGGGAGGTTTGCACAAATCCACCCACATCTAAAGTCTGTCTCTCAACTTGCACAGATATAGGAAAGGCATGGGGCTGGGAGCAGTGGCTCATGCCTGTAATTCCAACACTTTGGAGGCCGAGGTGGGAGGACTGCTTGAGCCCAGGATTCAGGACCACACTGGGCAACACGGCAAGACAGTATCTCAAAAAAAAAAAAAAAAAAAAAAAGAGAGAGAGAGAGAGGCATGGTCTCTTTTAACATATGTTAGCACTTTGCACTTCATTTATGAAAACTATATTTAGATTTTCAAGAGCTCTTTTATTATTCCCTTAACCCCCCCATATCCTATCCATACTTATATTTACCTGAAATTCGTCCATGATACTGAATGTATACTCATGTCTGGCTATTACATGATGACAATTCTTACACAGATCTGCTAAAACAAAGAGAGACTTATTATGTAATTAAGTCTTAGAGAGTTTCTTAAAACTTCTATTAAAATTTCTATTCTCAGCATATTATTTAAAGAGAATCTTAAGTCTGTTATATTTAACATAGGTGGAAACCCATTATAATATCTACCTTGATTTTTAAAAAATTCAGAATCTGCCACATAGCAACACTACATAATTAAGAGTCTGAACTCAGAGACAATATGCATTTCTTGCCACTGAAAGCTCTTTAAGATATTTAAGTGTGTTTTTAAACTAGTCAGATCTGTTTTTTTTTTTGTTGTTGTTGTTGTTTTTTGAGGCAGGCTCTTACCACTGTCCAGGCTGGAGTGCAGTGGTATGATCATGGCTTGCTGCAGCCTCAACCTCCCAGTCTCAAGTTATTCCTCCCATCGTAGCCTCCTGAGTAGCTGGGAGGATAACTTGAGCCAGGGGGGGGCTCAACACATGCATCACCACACTCAGCTAATTTATCTGAATTTTTGTGGAGGTGAGGTCTCACTATGTTGACCAGGCTGGTCTTGAACCCATGGACTCAACCAATCCTCCCTCCTGGGCCTCCCAAAGTGCTAGGATTATAGGCATGAGCCACCTCGCCTAGCCGAGCTGGACCTATTTAACTATGTAAAAGCTTTTATTCTCATGAATAATCGAAACTGCACTGTTAGAACCAATCATAAATAAAAACCAAAGCTGGACATTAAAGTGAATTTAATGGTAAAAAAAGAATCTAGTAAAAATGATTTATTGAGTGCTTACTATTTTAAATATTTAATCTTCCAAAAAATCCAATGAGGTAGATACTATCATTACCACCTTTTTAGAGATAAGAAAACAAAGGCATACTGCAGTTTAGAAGTAACTAGGAAGACTACTGAGACAGGAGGTAGGGGAACCAAAATTCAAACCTAAACAGCCTAGCTCCAGAGCCCTTGCTCTTAACCCACTATGTCCTATTGCTTAGAATGAAATACAGTCTAAAGAAAACAAATGCTAAAAAGAAAGAAAAAGATTCTTCTAGCTTAAAACATTTTATTGTTTGTTTGTTAGCTTAGAACTTTTTTTATCATCTGACTCCATTCTAAAAGCTTGGTGCCTTTCAAACTCCTCTGTCAAAATAGCATTACCTGCACATTTATTTCTCATGTATTCAGAACATACCTAAGAACCAGGAAACACGCAAAAAAGGGAATGTGAATAGCTAAATGCTTTCACAATATCTGGGCACTGAAGTATACATATACTTAACTTACAGAAATCCTTAGTGCTAACCTCAAAATTGAATTTTTACTTTATTTTATTTTTAAAAGATGGGGTTTCATTTCACCATGTTGGCCAGAATGGTCTCGATCTCCTGACTTTGTGATCTACCTGCCTCGGCCTCCCAAAGTGCTGGGATTACAGGCATGAGCCACCATGCCTAGCCAGAGTTGATTTTTTTATACATAGTTTATTTGGTTTCCCAGTTTTGAGGATGAGGAGCAAGATATGAAGGCAGCTTATGATTTAGCAGCAAAAGTAAGGAATAACAGACAGTGAGATTGGAGACCAAAAAAACTAGACATTCTTAGCAGAAACAGGACTAGAAAAACCACTGCATTCCTGAAGTCACTTAATATAGGGACAAACAGCCCTATACACTTTAATAGCTGTTGAAGGATATCACAGCATTATACTGTAGCAGAAAGTGAAAACTCACATGGATGACCCTAAGGTCATAATAAGAAAAAAAAAAAAAGTATATCTTGTTAAGGCAGTGTAAAGGTTTTAAAAATATGCCCCTGAAAAACAATTTGATGAACAAAAAAATTCAGTGCCTCAATCACAAGCTTTAGTTATCTGCAAAAGTCATTTACATATACCTATTTGATGATACCAGATAAATGAGGTGTTAACAACATTTTCCTCTTAAAAACCTAACTAGTAACTGTGTGCAATACAATATTGAAATAGGCTTCAGAATATTTTGTGTAACATATCAACTTCCAAAAGCTGATACCTGCTAATACACTCAGGTTACAAAAAAAAAAGTCTGCTTACGGTCATAGGTAACTATTTCTTCTCCATCTTCTTCTTTCAAGGATTTGTTTGTGATCAGCATAAAATCCCGCTTATTGCACACCGCACAGCCTGTAAAGTTCAGCAAGAAAGATCCATTCTCCAGGCAGGTGTTACCCTATAGTATTAGAAACAGGAATTTAATTTCTTTACATTTCAAAATCTTTAGTGAAATGATTAATAGACTTAAAATCTCTAAAGGCAAAACAAAACTAAAACATGGCCAGCATTTACTTCTAGAAGGTTATATACCAAATAATTTTTGAAATTACTAGCTTTCCTAAAGAAGTGTTACTCATGTTAAAAAAAACAAACAAACAAAAAACACAACTAAAGTACACTGTTAGATCCTTAAGTCTCTGAGGACTTCCTCTATGTTGAAAAGAGAGGACAAACTGCAAATAAATATTTAGAAACAACTTAAGGAAATCTTAATACAAAACATGAAAATGGAAAATTTAATAGCCAACAATATTAAACAAAGCATATCAAAACCAGAATTCAATCAAAATAGAAACTGAGTCAATTATAAAGATGATCTTATATACTGTGATGCTTAGTTGTTTGTTCAAATAGTTTTGATCCTTGATAACACAAAATAAATGAACAAAAGTAATCTCTCAGCTCTATAGGTGTCAGTCCTTAAGGATACATGTGATTGAGGCAGAGAAGCTTTTTTATTTTTTTTTGTAACTGAGATTGGGTCTTGCTGTATTGCCCAGGCTGGTCTCAAACTCTTGGGCTCAAACAATCTTCCCACCTCAGCCTCACAAGTATTGGGATTATAGTCATGAGCCACTGTTCCTGGTCCAAGGGAAGTCTTTGCTAACGGACTAGGGGACAAACAGCCGCGGGTGGGGGGGTTGTGAAGGCATAGCATTAGGAGAAACACCTAACGCAGATGATGGGGCGATGGATACAACCAACCACCACCATGGCACGTGTATACCTATGTAACAAACCTGCATCACCTACACATATACCCCAAAACTTAAAGTATAATAAATAAATTTTTAAAAAATTAAAAATCACTTCATAAATAATCATTTCTGAGCAAAAAAATATAAAGAGTAATTTTAAATAATGTGACTAAAAATCACTCAAATCAACGTCTCTCTAGTGCATCTATGTATCTGGTATTATAAAGGCACAATGGAGGATTCAAAGATGAGCCAAATATGTTCCTACCTCTAAGGAGTTTTAAGAAGCATCAGCGAAATTAAGATCCACCATAAATAATGCTACTAGGAAGTCTTTCCGGATTCCAAGCACCAGAATTAATCTCTCCCTTCTGAGTGGCTTCTTAGTTCCATGTACTGAGGAAGAGACTAACTCTGGTGGGAGAAATCAAGACATTACTACATAGTTCAGTTATTAAATCATAGGCACACTGTCTTAACCACTAAAAGGGAAAAGGGCCCTGGGATTCAAGCATCCATTTTCAGCTATCAAGAACAAATGCTTTACTTTTTTTTTTTTTTTTAAATAAAATCTACTGAGGTACAATTTATATACAATAAAATTCACACACTTCAAGGGTACATAGAAGTGAATGACTTTTAATATATACCCATGTAACCACTACCCCAGTCAAGGTATAACACATTTCTAGGCCGGGTATGGTGGCTCATGCTTGTAATTCCAGCACTTTGGGAGGCCGAGGTGGGCAGATCACAAGGTCAGGAGTTCAAGACCATCCTGGCCAACACAGTGAAACCCCGTCTCTACTAAAAACACAAAAAAATTAGCTGGGCATGGTGGTGCGTGCCTGTAATCCCAACTACTCGGGAAGCTGAGGCAGAATTGCTTGAACCCAGGAGGCAGAGGTTGAGTGAGCCAATAGCTCCACTGCACTCCAGTCTGGGCAAAAGAGTGAGATTCTGTCTTAAAAAAAAAAAAAAAAAATCTATCCACTCAAAAAGTTCCTTTATACTTTTCAGTCTATCTCTAACCTCCATCTCACCTCATACATCCACTCACCTAATTTCCGTCTCTACAGTCTTGCACGTTCTAGAATTTTATATATATATATATATATATATATATATATTTTTTTTTTTTTTTTTTTTTTTTGAGACGGAATTTCGCTCTTGTTACCCAGGCTGGAGTGCAATGGCGCGATCTCGGCTCACCTGCAACCACCGCCTCCTGGGTTCAGGCAATTCTCCTGCCTCAGCCTCCTGAGTAGCTGGGATTACAGGCATGTGCCACCATGCTCAGCTAATTTTTTGTATTTTTAGTAGAGACGGGGTTTCACCATGTTGACCTGGATGGTCTCGATCTCTTGACCTCGTGCTCCACCCGCCTCGGCCTCCCAAAGTGCTGGGATTACAGGCTTGAGCCACCACGCCCGGCTTTAGAATTTTATATTAACAGAATCAGTATACTCTTATATTCAACTTCTCTTGCTCAATAAAATGCCTATGTTAATCATCTCTGTTATTGTAGGTATTGGTACTTTGTTGCTTTTTATTGCCAGATAGTATTCCCTGCAGGATTCATCTGTTGATAGACACTTGGGATGTTCCCATGTGGGGCTATTATAACTAAAGCAGCTGTGAAGATTCCTGCCCAAGTCTTAGATGCACATGTCTTCCTTTCCCTTGGTTAATATCTAGACGTGGAATTACTGAGTAATATGGTAAAAATATTTAACTTTTTTACCATATTACTTATGTTTCAAAATAATATGTAACATATTACATATTACAAAATAAGAAACTGCCAAATGGTTTTCCAATATACATTCCTGCCAGCAATACCAGGCATCTTTTTATTTTAGCCATTCCAGTGATGTAAAGTGCTATCTTATCGTAGTTTTTTTTTTTTTTTTTTTTTTTTTTTTAGACAGAGTTTCGCTCTTGTTACCCAGGCTGGAGTGCAATGGCACGATCTCGGCTCACCGCAACCTCCGCCTCCTGGGTTCAGGCAATTCTCCTGCCTCAACCTCCTGAGTAGCTGGGATTACAGGCACGCACCACCATGCCCAGCTAATTTTTTGTATTTTTAGTAGAGACGGGGTTTCACCATGTTGACCAGGATGGTCTTGATCTCTTGACCTCGTGATCCACCCGCCTCAGCCTCCCAAAGTGCTGGGATTACAGGCTTGAGCCACCGCGCCCGGCCTTCATTGTAGTTTTTTTTTTTTTTTTTTTTTTTTGAGACGGCGTTTCGCTCTTGTTACCCAGGCTGGAGTGCAATGGCGCGATCTCGGCTCACTGCAACCTCCGCCTCCTGGGTTCAGGCAATTCTCCTGCCTCAGCCTCCTGAGTAGCTGGGATTACAGGCACGCACCACCATGCCCAGCTATTTTTGTTGTATTTTTAGTAGAGACGGGGTTTCACCATGTTGACCAAGATGGTCTCGATCTCTTGACCTTGTGATCCACCCGCCTCGGCCTCCCAAAGTGCTGGGATTACAGGCTTGAGCCACCGCGCCCGGCCCATTGTAGTTTTAATTGTTGTTTCCTTGATGACTAATGATGTTGAGCATCTTTTCATGGTGTTTATTCACGTATCTTCTTTTATGAAGTGCCTACTCAAGTCTTTTGTCCATTTTCAAAAAGTTAGGTTGTTTGAGTTATAATAGTTCTTTATATATCTTGGATACAAGTTTTCTTCCAAATATATTTCTCCCTGTAATTGATTTGCCTTTTTTAATAGTGTCTTCTGATGAGCAAATAGTTTAGATTTTTATAAAGTCCAATTTACCATTTTTTCTTTTATACTTTTTTTCTCCTAAGACATCTCTGTCTGCCCCAGGGTTGTAAAGAGTTTCTTATGTTTGTTTTTTTTTTTTCTAGAAGTTTTATAGTTTTAGTTTGTGGGTTTAGCTTTATAATCCATTTTGAAACAATTTTATGTATGAGGTAACGATCAAGGTTTCTTTACTTCCATATGGGTATCCAATTTTTCTGGCAAGATTTGTTGAAGACTGTCTTTTCCCCCACTGAATAAGAACGGTGCCTTTGTAGAAAAAAGTCAATGACTATACATATGTGGGTCTGCTTTGACTATTCTGTTCCCTTGATATACATTATCTACCCACCCACTACTATCAAACTCTCCTGATTACCATAGTTTCATAGTAAATCTTTAAATCAGGTAGTTTATGTCCTATAATCTGGCCATTCCTAGTTGGGTTTCATGTAAATTTTAACATCAGCTTATACTCTTTTAAAAAAAAGTCTACTGGAGTTTGAATTGGGGACTGCCTTGAATCTATGAAAGCTGACTGCCAAGGCCTCTAAAAAATTAAGGAAAGCAAAATCGTTTTTAAAAAGATCGAAATGCCAATTTCAAATAAATAGAACTCTGAACTGGACTACAGCCACAGACACAGGTTCCTTGCACAATATGGCCTAACCTCTGTAATCTGAGTAATTCTGTCTCTTTTAAGTAGATAGAATGTGACTCTAAGAAAACACTGAATGAAGAGAAGTATCTATCCATCTGTTGTCTGGTAAGTAAATGCTTCAAATGGTAAAATCCAAGTATAACATATAAGAAATGGATGGGACTTTCTAGAAGAGTCCTGGTCATTTGAAAGTAGCAAGAGTAACCTTCATCAGTGAAGCACAGCTCTTTTATTAAATGAGTTAAGACTATTAACATCCAAATTTGGAAAAGTAAACTAAAGCACACATTACTCAGCAAAGGTTCTGAGGCTCCCATAACAGGTAGAAAAAGAATGCAATTCAAATCAATTTCACAATAGTAACAGTAGATCCTAACAGGTTCAAGAAGGAAGGGAAAAAAGTTAACATGTTAAGTACCCTTAGAAAATGTGATTCAGCTAAATCCTGGTTAAGGATTTGTAAAGGTATACAAGTGTGCAAGAAGAAATGGCTGAAAACTATGAGGATAATTAGCATAAGAGTATGTTATAGGCCAGGCACGGTGGCTCACACCTGTAAGCCTAGCATTTTGGGAGGTCAAGGCGGGTGGATTATGAGGTCAGGAGTTTGAGACTAGCCTGGCCACCATGATGAAACCCTGTCTCTACCAAAAATACAAAATTAGCTAGGCGCAGTGGCGTGCACCTATAGTCCCAGCTACTTGGTTGGCTGAGGCAGGAGAATCGCTTGAACCTGGGCAACGGAGGTTGCAGTGAGCTGAG